CATATACTTCTATAACACATTCCAACTGATGATATCAAAGGAATTTTCAAACAATGAATGTAGCTTCAATTCACCCCTGCATATTTTACAGATGAGGTAGCTGAGATACCAAGAAGTTGCCCAAGATTACACAGAAGTCTCTGGCAGGGGATAGAACCCAGGTTTCCTGACTGCCAGACTACTGTCCCTTAACAGCAAGACTCTCCTATCTTTTTGAGAGCATGAAGGGAGAGCAGGGATAGAGGGAAACTTGTAAGAGAAGGCTTTTTATTCTTATTCCTTGGATACTCTTTACACTTACGAGCATGATAATTTTGTTATAAACCACCACTCAGCCAGAAATCCTCAATGAGGGATATTCATGAGAGATATTTTAAGCAATCCCTCATTATCTTAGGCAATTTAAGGTCATTTTTAAAAGGTGGTATTTTCATTTTATGAGAGAAGCTGATACAGCTACGTTCGAAACAACTTAAAATTCCAGAATTGTTACATCACCACACTTTCCTGCCTCAGGACTTCTTTTTTTATTTGATTTGCAATTCCTGCCAGCAAGACGTTACCTAAGCAAGGCTTATCTCTTTACATTATTTCTGCTGATGATTTTCTATTACTTAAGGATAGACGATTCCTGCCTGATGAGAGCTTCCAAGTTGTTTGTGTAACATGTTGTGTGGAGGCCAAACACCATTTTTGGACAGAGAAAAATAGGTGATTGTATACAAAAAGGGTATAAGTGTAAATGTTGCTGCTGCTTAGAAGGCTCCTTTGAGTATGGTTGTCTCTAGCTATTATTTTGGGTGGTTAGAAGGTTTACATATATGTAGAGTGCATAATAATATAGTTCTTTGAGAGGCAAATATCTTTCAATTCAGTAGCATTGCTAAGACCCACAACACACTGACAAGCAGAGTCTCTGTTAAAAGCAGGCACAGCAGCTTGCTTAGGACAGGAGGGGCAGGTGTTGCAAATCTGAGAAAAGAGATTCATCATTTTAGAAGTCAGAGCAAGGAGCCCTGGGATCAAGTGTTCAAGCTCTCTTTAATACTTAAAGACTGTTTTACCGATCCCTTGAGAGTACGGATTTGGGGTGAGAGATTGCTTCAGTATTCAGCCAAAGGAGTCAAGAGCAGAAAAAAGTTCCCTTTTAATTAGGCTTTTCTTTTACAAAGGCTCTGGAATCTTGTTGCTACTGTGCTTTTGTCTTAGTGCAACAGTAGCATAAATAAATTGCAAAACAATATAGAGATTATTAGGAAAGACGCACGTTTTATTTATTCCACCTCCTTCCCCCTTCATAGATTCATAGATTCATAGATTCTAGGACTGGAAGGGACCTCGAGAGGTCATCGAGTCCAGTCCCCTGCCCGCATGGCAGGACCAAATACTGTCTAGACCATCCCTGATAGACATTTATCTAACCTACTCTTAAATATCTCCAGAGATGGAGATTCCACAACCTCCCTAGGCAATTTATTCCAGTGTTTAACCACCCTGACAGTTAGGAACTTTTTCCTAATGTCCAACCTAGACCTCCCTTGCTGCAGTTTAAGCCCATTGCTTCTTGTTCTATCCTCAGAGGCTAAGGTGAACAAGTTTTCTCCCTCCTCCTTATGACACCCTTTTAGATACCTGAAAACTGCTATCATGTCCCCTCTCAGTCTTCTCTTTTCCAAACTAAAACAAACCCAATTCTTTCAGCCTTCCTTCATAGGTCATGTTCTCAAGACCTTTAATCATTCTTGTTGCTCTTCTCTGGACCCTTTCCAATTTCTCCACATCTTTCTTGAAATGCGGTGCCCAGAACTGGACACAATACTCCAGCTAAGGCCTAACCAGAGCAGAGTAGAGCGGAAGAATGACTTCTCGTGTCTTGCTCACAACACACCTGTTAATACATCCCAGAATCACGTTTGCTTTTTTTGCAACAGCATCACACTGTTGACTCATATTTAGCTTGTGGTCCACTATAACCCCTAGATCCCTTTCTGCCGTACTCCTTCCTAGACAGTCTCTTCCCATTTTGTATGTGTGAAACTGATTTTTTCTTCCTAAGTGGAGCACATTGCATTTGTCTTTGTTAAACTTCATCCTGTTTAACTCAGACCATTTCTCCAATTTGTCCAGATCATTTTGAATTATGACCCTGTCCTCCAAAGCAGTTGCAATCCCTCCCAGTTTGGTATCATCCGCAAACTTAATAATCGTACTTTCTATACCAATATCTAAGTCGTTAATGAAGATATTGAACAGAGCCGGTCCCAAAACAGACCCCTGCGGAACCCCACTCGTTATGCCTTTCCAGCAGGATTGGGAACCATTAATAACAACTCTCTGAGTACGGTTATCCAGCCAGTTATGCACCCACCTTATAGTAGCCCCATCTAAATTGTATTTGCCTAGTTTGTCGATAAGAATATCATGCGAGACCGTATCAAATGCCTTACTAAAGTCTAGGTATACCACATCCACAGCTTCTCCCTTATCCTTCGGTCCCTGATCCATCTCAGAACCTTTCATATCCAGCAGACTTACAGCTCCCTTTCATTTCAGTGTAATTATTTTGGTCTAGAACATGTCTTGCTAATTTACAGCCAGAGGAAACTTCAGGAACTGGAAATGTGTAATGCTCACTGTCTGCAGCTAATCAAGGGAGGTCACTGATATTGAGTTTGTCATCCACTGAGTCTGTCGTTAATGTGTGATGGGTGAGGAATCAGGGCTGTTGGTTCAAACCTCTATCAAGTCAGGATTAGAATAATCCTTTCCTGAGTAACTGGAGCACACGTAGTCCCACACTGGCTTCCTGTGTGGACCTGAAGAAGAGCTTCAGTTATATTCAGTTGCAATAAACCAGCAGATGTGATTCAGGAGGGGAAGGCAGGGCTGAACTGACAGGGGAATCATTCCTTTCCAGCCAGTGCTAAGCAGGCTGGTAGCGTCTAGTGCTGGAGATCAAATGCTTTATAAAACATACATTGCTATACCGCCCACTATTTATAGACTATAGTATCTTCATGCAGTACAGATGGTCTTTCATAACTTACAAGAGACTAAATTAATCATGTTATAAGTCAGTCTAAACAAATGGTCTTTATTTTTCTTAGAAAATGACTCAGCCAGAAAAATGCATATCCAGGCTTTCTAAAATCTAAGTTTAGGCAGGAATTTTAGAGGAAACAGGTGTTTTAGTGCCTCTGAGTTTGCATCCTGATAAGAAGTTTGCATTTAACAGTTGAACAGACCCAGGATTTTACATACTCATGCTGCAACCAGATATTCTTACAGAATGCCCTTTTGATTTCAGTGAGTAGCTTTGCACATGGAATGATAGCATAGTGTGGCCTCAGTTGGTCTAACTGTTTTTCAGACTAAGATTAGTTGCTCATCAAGTATGTTCTCCAAAGAGGCAATTTATCCAGGCCTCCTTCAACTGCTTTTGAAGGTGCTTAGTTATACAGCTTCAGGCAGAGGTCACTGAATGAGGCTGGTTACTATCTAGTCTCAGGGATGGGGGAAGAAGAAATGAGGTGTGATTTCCATTAATAAAACTAGTCTAATTGCTCCAATAAAGATCATATCTCCACCTGTGAAGTAAGCCAGTAGTTTTCAGATGGCAATTTCATCCACCTGCAGATCCTCACACACAAAATGATGCTTTTCTTCCAAAAAAGAATAACTTTGAAAGTCCAAACAAACCTTTCTAGAACATGAGTTGAAATGATTTCACAACTCTTTGTTCCCTTTTTTGAAAATCTACTCATTAGCAATGAAAACAAAACTATAATAAGTCAAAAGTCTCAGAAGTTTTCCAAAGGCCCTAAATGGAAAAGTCCGAGTCTAGAAAGAAAAACACCTGACCTTCTTGCCAGTATAAACTTCAAGATGAAAGTTTAAACTATGGCACCTTCTGGGCCCTCACTTCCTGCTCAAGTCTCCCTCCCTCTTCTGTCTGCTTCAGGTTAATATGCATTTATTTACCGATGGCTGTGCCAGTCAGCTGTTCTACATCATGTGAAACAAAATGGGTTTTACAACACTTTTCCTCCTTTCACCTTGGGCTGGTGCCCTGTGTCATGCAGTAGGCACGTACACTGAAGACAATTGCCAAGTTTTATATTTACTTTAGGTTTTATATTAAAGTATCCCTTCTTATCACCATTATCTGGCTTCCTGTTCTTCCAGGTAGGGACATATTGTCACCACTTAATTTTTTTTTAAAATGTCACATCCCATTGAGACCTCTCCATCAAGACAGTGCATCATAAAAACTGGGCATTTTATTTAATTACACAAGGTAAATATGGCTTGGCTAATGAGCAATACACCACACTGCCTTATGAGTTCTAAACTCTTATGTGCTAACAAGGGCAGTGGGTGGAGTCAGGGCCGACTCCAAGCACCAGCATAGCAAGCAGGTACCTGGGATGGCCAATGAAGAGGGGGGCGGCACGTCCGGCAGTTCGGCGGCAGTTCGGCGGCGGGGCCGTCACTCCCTCTGGGAGCAAAGGACCTCCTGCCGAATTGCCGCCATAGAATGAAGCGGCGCTAGAGCTGCTGCCGAATTGCCGCCGATCGTGGCTTTTTTTTTTTTTTTTTTCCCCCTCCCTGCTTGGGGCGGCAAAAATGCTAGAGCCAGCCCTGGGTGGAGTGTTATGGAGTGGATGTGCCTTGGGGGTGGGACGATGTTACCACATCTGTCACCAGCCGCTCCTCTAGGAGCAGGCCCAGAATAGTCTCCCTTTGCTGTGGAGTCTGGTGCCCATTATGCACCTGACCTTTCTTCTTGTCCCTGTGCAGCATGTGTTCAAGCAGGAAAGGGGGGGATTTGCAGGGATAAATAGCAGCCCATTAAGAAGCGAAGTGAGTGTAAACCCAGCACATCATTCTTACTCATACATTTTTAAGCCCTCAGGCTCAGTCTTTTTATTTATTACCCTACTGTTGCATAGTGCACATAACCTGCTTTGAAACAAAGATCTGAAGGTCAAGGCACCCACCTTGCTGTTGAAAGGTGAACCATCAGTACCACCTAAGCTTCTCTGCACAGATGGTGGGACTTGGTAAACATCTTGCTCCTGTAGACCATGGCCGGTAGGTACCTGGTAGATGCCCTGATTCAGATGGGAAGGTGGCACCTGGTATACCGGGTCCCAAGTTGAAGCCTGTGAGCTTGGCATTTGGTAGACTTTCTGCTGGTTATAGGCATGATGCATTGATCTTGAATTGGACGTGTCCTGGTTAGACGGACTATCCTGTACTGGGCCTATCAAAAGTTTCACCCGGTTGCCTGGAACAATGCCTTGTCGGCCATGTAAAGAGCAGAGCCACCATCCTTCCAGCCCTTCAGTGTTCTGTTCTATCACTGTCAAAATGTCTCCTTTGCGGAAGGCCAGCTCCTCTGCGCACTCTGGGACATTATCATACAAGGCTCTTGCCATAAGATTCTATAGAGAGATTGGGGGTGGGGAGGAGAGAGAAATTGAACATGAATTAGAATTTCAACAGCACCCATTCAGAGCTTAAAGCACATTCAGTTCTGGATGCATCTAGCTTCCTGGGAGGAATAAGAATTGATTTAAAAAAAGAAGTTAAATAACATGAAGAAGACACAACATGGAATTTCTCCCTCCAAAAAAACCAGGAAAAATGCCAAGTTTACATTACAGATAGCATTGCTGGGAAATCTCTCAGCATCAATAACAGCCAGGTAGAGACTATCAGAGTATACCAATAACAAAAAGGCTTTTCATGTATGCTGTTGGCCTGAACGCAGAGGAATCCAGGCATTCCTGAGTTTTACTCTCCACTCGGACACCTATTCCTCCTATTACTTTGAGCAAGTCAGGTCACTCCTCTGCCTTAGTTCCCCAATTTGTATAATAAGGGTAACAACAATACTTGCCTGCCTCACAGAGGTGTGCTGATTAACTAAATTACAGTTCGAGTCCTAGTCACCTGCAAGGAATTTTTCTAAGTGATATAATTCAGAAGATCAATTGGGAGAATATAATCTAAGGGCCTGAGTTTGTCTGAATGATCAGGGTGGTTACTGTTTACACTTACGAGCATGACAATTTTGTTATAAACCACCACTCACTGGTGCTTGTTCTTATCCAAATCTCCCTTTCCTCATTCTTTCCATAATCTCCTTTGCCATGGAATGCTGTGTAACACTTTCAGTCTTATAGAGATAAAATGTCCATTGATAATAATGCCCAAGAACTGCAGGGCAGGGCTTTTAGAGTATATCTTTGTTTCCCTCTGTGTACAATGAATATGCCTATTGAGAGAATGCTCTCTCATCATTATTATTAAACATTTATATTTCCAAAGTGTCCAGAGGCCCCAGTTAAGGTTATGGACACATTGCACTAAGTGTTGTACAAAACCATACTGTGCTGTCCTTATCCCAAAGCCCTTCCATCTAGTTATATAACTTTATTACACAAACCTAGCCAAACATATCTAAAAATATGCTGTCGCCTTTCACAGACCAAACATGCTTTCCCTCTTGCTCTCTCTTTCTGTATGCATGTCTGTCTGTCTGTCTGGCACATTCAGTACTGAGTAGTCAGCCAATGAGGTATTCAATGGAAAGTGGGCAGGCACCGTATGCTGACATTCCTGGAACCCTCACAAAGGCCCTCAGCATTTCATTTCTTGGCTCTGGTGATGTTTCCAAGTGCGCTGGCAACTACTTCTCCACGCCTGCCTGCTTTGCAGTGAAGGCAGTCGGCAGAGACAGTTATAAACTAATTGTAAGCACTTGGGAAAAATATAAGGGGTACTGTATTTGAAGGGCTGTAGTTAAAATATTTGGATGCGGTGCACATAAATGAAACCGTGCTAATTTATTGAAAGAAGGGATGTGGCTTGCTTCAACTGGCTCATGGATTTACCTTGCCTCATTTAAAAGGATGCTGACAAAGACTTTTTAATGATTGGTTTGATTTGGTGTATTTTTATCCTTCCCCTCAGACATTTCAAAGCAATTATTTTTTATCCCCATTTGTCCTCTTTTCTCATTGAGCTCCCTCCTTCCCCCATGCTTCTTAGAGAATATCCAACCTTACTTGGCTTTTCTTAGCTCAGTGCTCCCCATAGCACATGAAGGACTAACTGGGGGGTGCAGAAGACATATACATGAAGATGGGCAGGCCTGAAGTGGGTGCATGTGATTTGGTTTCATTTTTCCGAATGTGAGCTCAACTTTCAAAAGTTTGGGAACCGTTGGCTTAATTTGTCTTTTATCAGCATTATCGCTGAGGTCAACATGAAATAAGGTTTGGTCTTACCTCGGTGGACAGAACAACCATTTTAAAACCATATTGCAAATTAAAGCTACAGCACTAGTGCCAAATTCCTCCCTGGGGTAAGTCCATTCATATAATGCGCCTTTGATGCTGAGAGATTTCAGTGGGATTACTTCAGGGAGGAATTTGGTCCCTTTCTTTACAGGGCTGTAAGATTATCCTGTAGCATGGTTAGAGTTGTTCCATCTGCCCTGTTACATCACAATCCCCTGACTATAAAGATTTTTCTGTTAAGTTGGGCCCTAAGAAGTTCAGAAGGGAAAGACTCCGCTGCAGTCTATTTAATCGGATTAATCTATTATCTATCTACATGTACTTCTAATGTGCCTTTCACTGTAGTGATTAGATATCAAGTCTCAGTCCTTTTTGGCTAGCTGTGGCTGTTTAATGGGGCCTTTGAAGGTGGAGTGGTTCAAAGATGGGGAAAGAGAGGAGGAAGACTGCAGAAGGTCCACCAAAATTTCCAGAGTAAATCAAGAATAAATGACTGGCTAATCCAAAAAAACAAAACATTAAAGATTTGAGAGACCCCGATAGTTTCTATGGAACAGTATGTCGGACAAAGCCTTGAGCTGTGCTAGTATTAGAGCAGATAAAAATTCCCATGTGAAAATCTTTCTAGTTGCTTATTATCTTTTCCCTATGACCTGCTCCCCATCCGGTTAGAAATATGTTAATGTTTTCTGGGTCTGTCTCAAGTACTGCTTCATTGCAAATACTTTCCGGCCCTCACTGTCCGTGTTAACTGAGGCACCAGCAGGTCAGTTATCCTAATTTGTTGTCAGTTATTGCACACCAATGTCCTCAAGTGCTTGCAGAGATTAGCATTTTGAAAATGGCCCTCAGCAGCACCATCAGTGCCAGGGAACAATGCAGCACGTATTGACTTGCAGGGGAATATTTTCAGCCAACGGTGAATGACCATCAGGAGTTTTTGACATTCATCTAGCGCCTGCCTGTAAGTAGGTGGGCTCAGTAAGTAGTAACTGCATTGACTGCTCACTTGCCATTGCAGATATTTCCCCTGTGCCATTCCCCTCTCAGAGACAGAGCAAACCTTCCAGGTCCTGATTCTAACTCAATGGGAAGTTCTTTAGTTTCCTGGAGGGAAATAAGACATTCCCCCGGTGCTACATTCATTAGCGTATTTGGCTGTAGAAAAAATTAAGCCACTCACACAAGCGAGTAGGCAATAACTTTTGAAAATCACAGCCCTTCCCCCCGCACCAGAAGATGAAAGCTGGTTATTTATAGTTATGATGGTGTCCAAATGTTACCTTTGCTGCCCCAGGCATCAGTTACTCAGTCCTGCTCATCATCATCACCCCCCCACACATCAGACTACAAGGCTGTGCCATTTGTCAGTATACTACTTCCTGCCTGTCTCATAGTCATTTCTTCTCTGAAATCTCCTCAGAAACACAGAGGGGTAAACAAGGCACGACTGAAAATACCAACCCACAAATCCCGTTTGAAACACATTTTATTTTTATGTGCAGGGAGGGATTTCGAAGTTGCTAAACTTCCCAGGCTAAATCTTGTACTGTCTGCACATGGATGGTGCCGGGTGCAATCAATCAACACGGATTAGTGCCGCCATTTAAATCAGAAGGAGCAGATGACACTCCCTTAGAATTTAGGAACAATTTGGAGTCCATGTTTGAATTTAGCTGTTTGAGGAGCCTTATTTCATCTAGTCTGATTCAGTGCATGTGTTAGCCCATTGGGGACCCTAAGCTGGACTATTTCCCACCCACCCCCAAAACAAACACACACACACATAATTAATAAGGGGGCCCTTGAGCTGCTCAGGGCCCTGAGCAATTGCTTAGTCTGTTTATGCCTAGTGCCGGCTCTGTCTCCTGTCACAAGATGTTCTTCTTGATCTAATAATTCCAATACTGGGCAAGGTTCTGATCTCACTCACATGATCAATGCCAATCCCACTAAGGTTGGTTCCTTCCAGAATTACAGCACAAACAGACCTTTCAAGTCTTCCCTGATGGGACTCTTTGTTCTACTGTCTCTTCTCTTTGCCTCTTAGCCTACAATTCTTTACTTGCCTTTTACTTTTTAAATGAGCACATTTCAAAATACTGTAATGCTCAGTAAATTGTCCATTCAATCAGCCCATGTGAATAATAACTTCTCCTGCCGAATCAAACGATGGGAACCATCTACATGTCAAGCTGGAGATGTAAATTCCCATCTGAGGAGACATATCGGTGCTAGTTCGGATCGAGCTAGCATGCTGAAAACCGAGCGTAGCCATGGCTGTACAAGGGGCAGGAGGGACTAGCCTCACCCAATACATACCTATCCTCTTGGATGGGGGCGCACTTGGGGCAGCTGCTGTAGCTACCTTCTATTTTTAGCACACTACCTTAAAGGTAGCTTGTGCGGGTGTGTCTCTTTGAGGGGGAATTTTCACCTCCGGCTTGAAGTATAGCTATGCCCTCTATCCTTCGACTAAACCCTTCAAGAAAAAAAATCAGTCATGTAGAGGAGCTTACCAATGTCCCATTAAGGTCAACAAATCTTAAATCTTTTGGACCCAACCTGTCAGTTCTAGAGTTGAGAAACCCCTTTTGAAGATATTCTACTCCAAGCCCTCTCCTTTTTAAACTAAAAAGATGTTAGCTCAAGTACCCTGTATTATTATAAAGAAAGTATTGCAGAGAAAAAAGACTTCTTTCTGGTAGCCAGGTCCCAAACTGTGTAGGGCTTTATAGACAGGGCCGGCTCCAGGCACCAGCACAGGAAGCAGGTGCTTGGGGCGGCCAATGGAGAGGGGCAGCACATCCGGGTCTTCGGTGGCAATTCGGCGGCAGGTCCCTCAGTCCCTTTCAGAGGGAAGGACCGCCGACGAATTGCCACCGAAGAATGAAGCGGCGCAGTAGAGCTGCCGCCGATCACAGCTTTATCTTTTTTTTTTTTTCCCCTTCACCACTTGGGGCGACAAAGCTGGAGCCAGCCCTGAAATTATAGATAAAAAGCAACACCTTAAATTCTACCTGGAAACTATTTGGAAGCCAGTGCAGATTTCACTAGTGCAATATACCTTGCGCATGAAGCAGCACTTAGTAAAGAAAGTGGCAGTTGGCTTGTTAAATTTCTAAATGGTGTAAACC